GGGGGGGGGGCGGGGGGAAAGTATTGCAGGTATCAGGCGTTCCGGGAAGCCTGTACCTCTCAAGTACCTCAGCCTATGGGGAAAGAGAGAAGGGACAAGTGGCCAGGAATTAGGATAAAAAGGAGGCTGCGCCCTCCAAAAATTTGAGAGACCCCAGGGGAATGCCCCATGGCCTCTCCCTTTATTCAAATAAAGTAAAAGGATTCCTCATTCCTCTGTCTCCTTTTTGGACATAAACCTCTGGTGTTTGTGGATTGATTTTCCTGACATCCTGATGCCAGCTGCCCGGAAAACTCTGCCATCAGGCCCTCCTCTTTTTTCACATTATTCTGAGGTGTGTTCATGGACCATGAACTTAAGGAGTGTCATTTTAAGAATGAGTTATTCAAAGACAAAAGTTCTCTTTATCTGTCTCCGTGATTATCTCATGGGAACAGAGGTTTTCTCTTTTTCTCCCTGTGGGCCATGAGTGTTCAGCAACTCTCACTTCTTCTCTGTTTCAGCATCTCATGGGATCACAACTACTTCACTATCTGCTCAGCTTCATCAATAAATTACTTCTGCTCAGATCTATACTTTGAAATACTTCATTCTCCCCCAAATACCTCTTCATGAATTAAAGGCTTTTTTTTTCAGAACATTATTGTCTATCTCCATGACTTTAACATAAGAATATTCCAGCTTATTAAAGCAACTCCTTATTTTCATCTGAGGCTTGACTCCTTCTTTCATTAACTTTGATGGTTTATGTTATCTCTCTACATGTTGTTCACTCTCTTTTCCTCTCTCTGAAAAAAAATAAAATTAAATCTGCAAGTCTCATCTGGGTAGTAAAAAGGTTAAAATCTGGCTCAAGTCAGATCAAGTTGTGGCTAAGTATTCAGATTTCAGCTCAGCAGTGCCTAGGGCCAGGGCCCCCCTGACAAAGGCTTCAGCCACCCTGCTGGAACAGGACTTGTAGACTTCCCGGGAGGGCTGTAGCAGAAAGGGGGAAAGTCTTGCAGGCTCCATCCCCTGCCCGGGAGCCGCGGCACGCTGAGCCCAGCCCCTGCCAGGCTGCATGGCTTAAGGGAAAAGGGACAAGAGCTAGCCAGAGTTCTGCCATCTTTCACAGCCAGAAACAAAGAGAGAGAGAAACTCTCGAGCTTAAGTTTAAAAAGTATCATTTACGAGTTGATCTCACTTTTTAATGGTCAAAAAACCTGTCAGTTTTCAGAACTGGCCAGCTATTGGCCAGTTCTCAAGCAGAGAAAAAAAACTCTCAGCAGGTTCCAGCAGCCTCTCTCAGAGCTCTAACTTCTGTAAGTGTTCTTTACTTTTTTTTCTTACATGCCAATCTATCACAATCTTACACACCTAAAATTATAGGGCTTGCAGTTGAAACACATGGGCTCTGCATGCCCACAGCCCATGTGTTTCAACTGCATGCCCACTGTATATATGTGTTTGCTATAGGAACCAGAGAGGAAAAAAGAATTTTTGAGGCAAGAAAGCTGGGGGCATACTTTTTAAAAGCCATGTATTGACAGGCGAAGGGTAAATGGCTTTAAACTGAAAGACAGTAGGTTTGAATTAGATATTAGGAAGAAATTCTTCACTATGAGGGTGGTAAGACACTGGAACTGATATGCGGAATATAGGGACTCTATAACTAGCAGAGTAGTTATAAGAGCAGGTATGAATTTATTCAGAGCTGAGATGCATGGGGATATCTCCTCCAAAAGCACGCACACCTTTTTGATTTGGTTTTCCCTTTTTATCTTTTACAGACTAGGTTTACACGATATGCCTAATACATATTCATTTTGTAACCCCGCCTGTCCTCACTTCATATTACATTTAGCTCCATGCCCCTTTCAGTCCTTTGGCCGCCTTTTGGGACTTCAAATCCGTTTCTTCTGGCTTAGGGTCCGAGGAATCTCCTTTATCCTGTGGTGCCTTTGTCTTTGCATCTTGTTTGTGTATTCCAGCTCCTTATCTTATCTTGCAGTCTGACCCTTTTCCTGTTCTTGTGGATCAGGGTGTCAGGGTCTGGTTTTCATCAGACACCCCTTTTAGTCAAGCATTTCTTCCTAATTCTTAATTTCTCTGTTTCAGTCCCCCCTTTTCTAGAAAATCAGTAAATTCTTTTACTTAGCAATACTAATGCCTTTTATTTTTCAGTCTACTTTTACAGCTTGCTCTCCTCGGTATGTATCCCTCATTGCATTACCATATGCTGCTGCTAGGGAAGTTAGTACTGCCATCCGTTTTAACATCCTCCAGTTCCAAACAAGCATTGCAACTGATAGCACCAGACTTATACCTACTAATGCCAGTATTATAATGATAGGGTGGCAAAGTGTGTTCAAAATCCCAGTTGCAGTTGGTGACCATCCAAAGAGTGCATCCCACCAGTGATGATTGGTGTCTTGCTTTACCCTTTGTAATACTTTGCTTATTTCCTTTGAATCATGATAGACAGTAATCAGAGTCTTTTGCCCATTTTCCTGGATCTCTTTCAGGATTCTTGCCAAGTCCACCAAGACTGAAGTTTTCTTTCTAAATTATTTGCATTGTCCCAGACAATTTTCCGAATTTCAATTGGAAAAGCACCTTCACTTCCTTCCCTTATTACTGAAGCAACTATTGATTGCATCCATAATTGTGCCTGTATGCAGCTAAGGGCTAATGACACATTATTTTGGGAATATTTAGTGCTTTTATTATTAGCTTGTGGTCCTGGTCCCCAGCCTCCTTCCACCTTGGTAGTATTTTAGAAACTTCCCATTGGTTAGTCCCTAATGCTAATAAAGAGGATTGTATGGGTTGTTTTAATTTCAAATCACTTGTTGCAGCAGCTAATTTATTCATTAATATTTCTGAATCAATTTCATTTAATACCCCTAACCCTGTTCCTAATATTCCAGTTAAGTTTCTTCTCATTCTGCCCCTGAAATGTATCTGTTTTTGTAACCATGTTGCCCAGCCCTTAGATGATGTCTTTAGGAAAGAGGAGCAGGCTGGCTGAATCTCAGAGATGTTAGTTTGCATTAGTAATTCAATACGCTTGAGAGACCACTCTGGATTAAATAACAGTTGTTGTCCTGTATTCCTTATTACATGTGGACCAACTTCATAAATTTTAAGTTCAATCTTAAGTTTAACTTTAGGTGGTGTGGTCTGAGCTTGGGTTACAGTTGATTTGGTCGTTGCAATAGGCACGGCTTTCATTCTAAATTTGAATGTTAGCCCTTTATCACCACGACTCCAGAGGCAGACCACATCCACTGCTTGTACTAATGTAAAATTATACCAACAATCCAATTTACTTAAATGGTCACAAACTTCTCAGTGCTTGCTCGTAGGAGGAGCTGAAACACTAATTTGGACTGCCTTTTCATAGTTAGTCCCATTAATCATCCGACATCCTACCCTGATTACTTCTCTGATAGTCCCTTGAAGGGTCCGTAACCTTTGTTTTTGCCATTCTTGCTTTTTATATATCTGGTTTTCATGCATAACTACAGTTGGTAGGTTTAAATCTCTTATATCAGAGTGTTTTCCCATGAATCCAGTGGATTGAATGAAAGCTTGGGACCAAGGCCATTCAGCATTTTTCTGGCTAGAGGTGCTTTCCAATTCTTGAATTACACTTGTAGCTACAAGTAAAACAAACAGACTGATTCTATTGACTAGGTTTTTGCAAGCTAGATCATGGAATCCTCCCAACTGCAATGTACTCATTTTGCTCAAGTACGTTTTAGTTTCAGTTCATTGTCACCCAGTGTTACTTTCCAAGGGGCTTCTGGAGCTTTCTTCACTTGAGAATGGTGAATCCAGGCACTCTGTTCCTTGATCTTAACTGCAGTGAAGGTGGTGAGGAGCACCAGGAACGGTCCTTCCCACTGTGGTTCTAAAGTTTTTTCTGTAAGAGACTTAACATACACATAATCTCCAGGCTGTATGTCATGCACTGGCCCATCCAGCCCTCTGCTCCAGATTCCAGCCACATGTTTCTTAATTGCTCTGAGCTGCTTGCCTAAGGCTATCATATAGGCAGTCAGCCTCTTCTCCCCCACTTGGGTAGACAATCCCTTTTGCACACCATATGGTCTCCCATAAAGCATTTCAAAGGGACTTAGTTTTTCTTTGGCTCTGGGCTTGGTTCAGATCGGCATCAATGCCACTGGGAGAGATTGAGGCCAAGGTAAATTAGCTTCTTGTCCCAGCCTCACAATTTGCTGTTTAATTAAATTATTCATTTTTTCCACTTGGCCAGTTGACTGGGGGTGATAAGGGGTATGGAGCTCCCAATCTATCCCCAGGTGTCAACTGATATGTTGTACTATTTTTGAGATAAAATGTGGCCCCCTATCTGAAGATATTGTGGCTGGAACCTCGAAGCGTGGTATAACCTCTTGTAGCAATACCTTGGTTACCTCCCAGGCTTTGGCAGTTCTGGTGGGAAAAGCCTCTGGCCACCCTGAAGAGGTATCTGTTAAAACCAACAAATATCAATACCCCCCTTTTCTTGGGAGTTCTGAGAAGTCAATTTGCCATTGTTGTCCAGGCCCATGGCCTTTTCCAATTTGACCGAGTTTTGGTTTGGGGGTATTCTTAGGTTTAGTCTGGAGGCAAATGTCACACTGCCGAGTTACCTGAATGACAGTAGAGTATAAATTTCCGGCAGTAATCTTTTCAATTAGATAGCTATACAGGGCATCTATTCCCAGTGTGTTTTCTGGTGCTCTTCTCTTACTAGTGACCATAACAAATGAGAAGGGATGACTATTGTCCCTTCTGCAGTAATAGCCCATCCCTCTTGGTTATATTTTCCCCCTTGATCTTGAATTAATTTTCTATCTTTTCTGGTATATACTGGCTTACCTTCAAGGGAGACCTGTCCATCAGGAATTAAGGATCCCTCAATTGTTATCTCACCTTTTGCTGCTTCTTTTGCCTCTCTGTCCACCAGCTCGTTCCCTTCCTCCAATTCTGAGCTCACCTTCTGGTGTGCCTTAATGTGCATAATTGCTACCTGCTCAGGTAGCTGGACTGCTTCCAGTAGCTGCAATATCTCCTGCGCATGTTTGATGTTTTTCCCTTGTGAGTTTAACAGTCCTCTTTCTTTCCAGATGGCTCCATGTGCATGTACAACCCCAAATGCATATCTTGAGTCTGTATAAATGTTTATTTTCCTTCCCTTTGCAATCTCCAGGGCACAGGTTAGAGTGATGATCTCTGCCTTTTGTGCAGAGGTATCTGGTGGCAAGGGTCCAGATTCTATTACCTCTTTGCAGGTGGTAACTGCATACCCGGCATGTCGCTTTCCACTGATAACGTAGCTGCTCCCATCAGTGAACCAGGTTTCTGCATCCTCCAGCAGGGTGTCTTTCAGGTCTGGGTGGCTGGAGTAGGAAGCTTCGATAGTCTCCAGGCAATCGTGGTGCACCAGCTCCCCTTGATTCCCACTGAGAAAAGAAGCTGGGTTGATAATGTTAGCTACCACTATCTCTACATCATCTTGTTCTACCATGATGGCTTGGTATTTCAGGAACCTTTGTGGGGAAAGCCAGTGCCTGCCCTTTACTTCTAGGACTGCAGACACTGTGTGAGACACCAATACAGTCATTTTCTGGCCCAGGGTGAATTTGCATGCTTCCTGAATATTCAACACCACTGCAGCAACAGCTCTAAGGCATCCTGGCCATCCCTTGGCTGTTGCGTCTAGTTGTTTGGAGAAGTAAGCAACTGCTTTTCGGTACGGACTCAAGTCCTGGGCCAGTATTCCCAAGGCAATTCCCTGCTTCTCATGGGAAAACAGGAAGAACGGTTTTCGGGAGTCCAAGCGCTGGAGCCGACATTAGGGCGTTCTTCAGCTGGTGGAAGGCTTGGGTGGCCTCTTTTGTCCACTGGATGTCTCTGTTCCTGCTTGTAATGAGCGCATACACAGGTTTCACAAGCAACCCATAGCTGTGTATCCATAGTCTGCACCATCCTGTCATACCTAAGAATGTTCACAGCTCCTTTACTGTTTGATGTTTCGGGGTTTGGCATATCACTTCTTTGTGATCTTGCCCTAGAGTCCGCTATCCAGCACTGATTTCATAACCCAGATAAATTACCTTTTGCTTCACTACCTGAGCTTTTTTCTTTGATACCCTGTATCCCTGAAGTCCCAGAAAGTTTAGCAGGCTTACAGTCCAGGCTATGCATGCCTCTTTTGTCCAGGTGGCTATGAGGATGTCATCCACGTACTGCAGTATCTTTCCTTCTTCTGGGGGAGCCTCCCAGGATTCCAGATCCTTGGCAAGTTGCTCTCCAAACAGAGTAGGAGAGTTTTTAAATCCTTGAGGCAACACAGTCCAGGTGAGCTGGGATTTGCACCCACTTTTGGGGTTTTCCCATTCAAATGCAAAAATTTTCTGGCTGTCCTCATGGATAGGGAGGCAAAAGAAGGCATCTTTCAAGTCTAAAACAGTAAACCAAGTTAGCTCAGGTGTCAGGCACATTAGTAGAGTGTATGGATTTGCGACTACAGGATAGAGATCCTCAGTTATTTTGTTAGCAGCCCTTAGATCTTGTACTATCCGGTATGACCCATCAGGTTTTTGGACTGGCAAAATGGGAGTATTGAACTCAGATGGGCACTCTTTTAACAAGCTTAACTGTAAAAAGTCTTCAATTATGGGACTAATTCCTTCCCTATCTTCTCTTTTCAGGGGGTACTGTTTAATTCTAACTGGTTGTCTTCCTTCCTTGAGTTTGATTCATATTGGAAGTGCATTTTTCGCTCTCCCTGGTACATTGGAGGCCCACACTCCAGGAAATACTTGATTTATTATTTCTTCACTAATTTCCCCCTCTGTGTGGACGGCTGTCAACATTAAACTCAATGCCTCTATGTACTGTTCATCATTTACCTCCAGAATAACCTCTCCATTTTTAAATTTAATAGTTACTTACAATTGTTCTAACAAGTCTCTACCCAACAGATGTCTCGGGGATCTGGGCAGATATAGGAATTTATGAACACCCCATTGCTTTCCAAGCTTATACTTGAATGGCTTGCAAAAATATGCTTTTTCAGGTTGACCAGTTGCTCCTATTACTGTAACATAATCCTTCCCCACAGGTGCCAAAGTCTTATTCAAGGCTGAATATGTTGCCCCCGTGTCAACCAGAAATTCCACCTCTTTCCCTTTTTCCCCCAGTTTCAATTTTATTACCAGTGGATCTTCTGGGGTGAGATCTACCGGTCCTCTTCAATCTTCATATGCAATCATTTTCCCTTTTTCCCGGTCTCCCTTTTCCTGGAAGCCACCCCGTCTCCGCTCTGGGCACTGATTTTTCCAGTGACCATATTTCTTACAGATGGCACACTGGTCTCTGCCCAGTTGGGACGGGCCTTGTCTATATGATCCCTGTCCACATTTTCCTCTCTCTCCCTCACTTACAACAGCTACAAACTTCCTCATTCCTTGTTTATATCCTTCTGCCCGATTACTAAAAACTCTCCACGCCTCATCCAACAAAGTCTCTAAGTTCCTCCCATCTGCCCCCCGAAACTTTTGGAGTTTACTTCTTATGTCACCCATAGACTGCCCCAGGAATAAATTAACTAACTGCTGTATCCCTACTTCAGACCCAGGGTCCAGTGATGTGTGACGGTGCATGGCATCTCTTAATTTTTCAAGGAATTCAGATGGCGACTCAGAGGGCCCCTGCTTGATTGCATATAAGGCTGATCAATTTATAGTTTTGGGGATGGCTCTTTACATCCCCTTTGCGATCCACTCCTGGTAGCTTTCTAGTTTTTTCAATTCTGCTAATCTGTTTGGATCCCACCGTGGGTCTTGGAGTGGGAAATAATTTTTCACATCCAATTGTTGGGTTTTATTATAATCTTCTGCCAGATCCCCTGCCGTTTTTATAATTAATTGTTTTTCTGTCTCGGTCAGTGCATCTAATTGTAATTGCATATCACTCCAGTCTGGATTGTGTTGTTTTATTATGTATTGCAGATGTTTAGCTGTGTTAACTGGTCATTGTGGTAATTTTTAGCAACCTTTTCCCATGCCTTCAAATTGATTGTGGAGAAGGGAACTTTAACCAATACCACTCCTCCCTCTGGTGCCACTGCCTCTTCCCAGTATTCTTCTCACACACAATTGCAATTAGTGGGCACCCAATGTGACTTTCCACACAGAAACTTCAAAGTTTTCACTTTGCACGTGGATCATATGCCCTGATGGTTATTAAAGCAACAATACCAGCATCTACCCACGGTTAAAACAAATATTAACCACTTCACACTCAAGCACAACACTCCTCATTTACACTTGACTTTGCTCCACACTGACTCCAGTCGCTTCGCTTTTCTCCGTCCGCCTTAGTTGCCCGAGGTTGGAACCGCAGATAGAGCTCCACACTCACTCCACACCTCTGGTGTGTCTCACTTGCTCATTCACACACCAAACACCCTCAGTGACTCAACGTGTCCGGACTTAGTATTCACACAAAACAAGGGTTCGCTCAACTCACCCCCAGAGTCGCTAGTGGGCTGCTCTATCAGCTCAGCTAGAACCCTCACCTTGTCGGCATGTATCCTTTTGTGATAAATGAACTTATAAAAATTCGTAGAGATCTAAATAAATATATTTGTAGCGATAATAATATAAAATATAAAGTACAGTGTGGCCCACAAGTCCTTCCCAGATCTAGTCGCGAATTCCCATTCGAGAGATAACGATCCTAGCCGGCGCCCATCAACGGAAAAGAATGAGCAGGACACGGGCCATCAGGCTGACAAAGGGACGAGCTCGGACGAGATACTCATCACCGGACCTGAACACCCCGCCTTGCAGGCCACTGTTGGGGAAGCAATCAGGCAGACAAAGGGAAAAAGTCCAGCCGAGATATTCATCAGCTCCAACCCGGATCCAACCATCCCATCCAGATGGCCTGAACCAAAATGAAATCAAGGAACACTCAGAACTTCTTTACATATGAGGAGACTCTGCCCGGACGTCTATTTGACTCTATTCTCCAACAATCAAGGACCCTTGGTGAATGGTGCCTGCCTGGAATTTGGCCTCAGGACACAAAATCCCTATAAAAACCCCGGACAGTCTACCCTCCTTTGTGGATTTGGGAACACCTATACCTTTGGGTATAGACCCCTGTCCACCCAGCGCTGCGCTGTTTATTTTATTGTGGTTTTTCCTCATTGTTTATTTTTATTATAAAAATTGTTTTATAATAAATTGTTCTTTTATTTAACCCAAATTTGCCTTTGCATTTATAACACTTTCACACACCACTTCACCACACCCATGGCCTAGCAAGGACTTCTGAAAAAGCTGACACAGCCCAGTGGACATTCTCCCTTCTCAAGATACAGGATGTCCTGAATTCATCACATTCATATCACACATGTTCCAGGAAGAACCTCTTTGGTTTTAGGTTTAGTAATCAAACAGAAACTTCCCCAACCATTATTCTACAGACTCAGCCCGGGGTATAAATGCTAATGAGTGGCAATGGAAAGCATAAAACAAATATCAAAATCATGTGATCATAGACTGATAATCTGAAATTAATTCCTAGATGACTTGATTTGGCAAACAGGAAATGGAAATTATTACAGATTGAAAAAAAAGTTTTGTACAAGAAAAGTTCCAGACAGAGAGAAAACTCACAGTAAGGATGGCCATTTCTATACCTCCTTAGGCATGTTGATCTTAGACAAAAGAAAGAAAAAAAATAAAATAAAAAAGAAAATAAAAAAAAAGAAAAAAAAGAAAGAATGTGAATTAGAGAAAGAATCTATCCAAAATATTTTGAATATAAGGTTCAGATTCATGATTCTACCAGAAGCTAGAGGTACATCTGAATCTGAGTTCAGTTTTCTTCTACAACCTCTATAGATTATTCTTTGGTGAAGGAATGTCCCATTCAAATATTAAAGATTAAGAGGTTCTACCTGTGCCCTGAAGAATACTGATACCGGTTATTTTATGACTTTGAAGGATGAGGAAGTCTTCACTGCAGAATTCAGGGTGTTTGAATACATGTGCTACAGTCAACATATTCTGTTGAAGTGTTGCACTGAAATATATTGACAGAAATGATGTGGGCAAATTTAGAACCCCGAATGGTCACCCATAAAAACTACTTGTGTTCAAGCTATTGGCAGGTGTTAAAGTATCTCAGTAAACAAGCATTTTGCAGCTTACTGAAAGTAATTAACATACAGAATACAAAAGTTTCCTAATGGCTGAAGACACAAATTTCAAAAACAAAAATTTTCTGGAGTGATATTAAATTAGTGTTGTAGATGAGAAGAAATTCTAGTTACATACACAATTGCTCATTTTGGCAAGGATTTTCTAAGATCAGAGGAAGCAAAACCATCAATATTTAAAATCCCTTGAGAAGTGTGGTCATGTAAGGCCTCAAAATGTTTTTGGGTACAATTACCACTGAAAGGAAAGAAGACTTATCAAACTGTGAAACACCTTATGTTGGTCTGGAAAAATTGCTCTAATAAATTTAAATCAGAAAATGTAATGAAATTCTGCACAACACTGCCTGATTTTATTGCAAAGCATTGATGTAGGCATCAGTTCAGCTACTGGCCAGTCAAAGACTATGAAGTGATGACAATCCATGCTAATAATAACAGAGAAATCATTAAAAGGTTGTGTGGTTTTAATACAAATGAGAGAAGAATATTATGCCTGCCTATAGCATGTTTTCCAATGGATTCTCTCATGATGTTCTCCTCCCCTTCAGATGTTTCCCAACACCTGACCATAATGAATGTGCCCAACAGACAGTCTCTTTAAGCTACACAAAAACTAAACTTAGTTGGGGCATAGGTTGTAGTTTTGGTCCAAAATGACTTGTGACTTTTTTAGATTAATTTATTCTTTTGGCATCATTATACTTTTTTTTTCCTTCTCATCTCCTCCTATGTAATAGCCAGTTCTTCTGATGTATTTTGGAAGACCCTCTGTACCCAGTTACCAATCTAAATAAATGAACCCAGATCAGCTACTATCTGTTCTCTGTTTTATGGGACATTATGTGTGGCAATATCACTTTGGTGATTTTATAATGAAATTTCGTAGATAAAATTTTCCCAGTTCCACTGGGAATTCAGAATTTGGAGTGGTTGAATACAGCATGTATTCCCAGAAAAACTGTGCACTCATAAACAGAGAGTACTTATGTACCTACATGCAAGGCTGGACACACAAAGCAGCACAGACACACTCAGCACACACACAAACACAAATGGAACCAACAGCCTCATCCTGCCCCCCTCTCTGGCTGAGCATGAGGAAGGTCTCAGTGGGCTAAAGACTAACTGTGTGATTGAATCCAAACTTTGCAATTAGATTTTAACTTTTTACTTTTGCTCATTCATAGTTGCATCCTCATAACAAGATGGCTTGACTGATATCTGCTTTAGACAGAGTGAGGAGACAAGGGCTGTGGAGAGGCTTTTGTTTCTTTATATACATGTGTCTTGGTTTTGGAAGACAGGTGTCTGCTAGGGAGGGCAGGAGCCTCCCCTGGAATGAGAATATAGACCCCCTCCCTCCGAATTATTATAATTCTGAAATCAAGGGGCTCTCAGGCAGAGATTTGGGGAGAGGAATAACAGTTCTTTACTAGTATGTATAACAAGGTAAACAAACAACAATAACTACAGTGTTAGCAACAAAACAGAACCAGGGACCCCGCTATAGATGCTAACTGTGAAGCAGGCAGCATAGTGCCTGTGAAATTGCAGGCCACATAACTTTCTTAGTCTTGCCTGAGAAAGTGGCCTGGGAAATCATGGGGAGGAATTAAAGCAATCCTCAGAGATAGGAAGCAGCCTTGCAGGTGCTGTTTGTCTGTTCCTTGTTTTCTTGCAAGAGAAGGTCGAGGGGTGGAAACCTCACTGACCAAGGATGGTGATGTGTTAGTTTACTAACCAATAAGGGTTTTCTTTTCTGTACTTTTCACGTATCGATCTATAAAAAAGACCTGAGGTAATAAACCGGGAGAAATTCTCCGGTTTGACTCCACAAGAGAGTCTGTGTCGTTCTTCTCGTCGTTCCTAATAGAGCACACCCCGCGACAACCTTCTTGGCTGAGACGGGAGAGGATGGAGGAGAGGCTTTGCTTCATAAACCCCCTCAGGCAGTCAGTCCCGGTCCTGCAGGGCTCTGAGGAACACTCAGCTGGAACAGCAGGGATGAGCAGAGATCCCGGGCTGGTGGCTGAGGTGTATCAGCAGCTCCGCGGCGGTGGCTCGCACTGCCACACGTCCCGGCTGGACAGGGGGAGCGAGGCCACCCACGAAGAGGGAAAAAGGAGAAGAAGAAGCAGCTCCGTCTGGGTGATGACGAAATTCCCTTCTCTCCACTGCAACAGCTCTGCGCGCCCAAAGTGTGCTCCGAAGCTGAAGAAGCCGCCAAACTGCCCCACCCTCCCCTTTTCCTGCCCTCCTTCCTGCCATGGGCCCAGACGAACTCTTTGTGTTCTTCAAGTATCCACCAAGTACCCGCAGTTAGGTTTTCCCCGCAACTAACGGGTAAAA